AACCTTGGCCTGCGTATGAAAAAAATGTAAGATGGGTCCATTCAAGGATGTTTCAGAAGATTATCTTGATTGAATTGCTCTTGGAAGGCGAGCACACATATTAAACCCAACTCCAATTAAGCTTGGCCCTGTAATTTCAAGCAGCCTTGCCTGTGTGAAACGAATGGTGATTCATTTATACCTCTTCAAACAGGTTCAGTCCTGTCAGTGCTGGTTTAGCGGAAGGATATCGAGAGCCAGCTGGCAAATGTCACTCAAGCTATTTGCTACTGCTTGCAATCTCGGCATGCTTGCACTGGCAGTTCTGGGCCTCGCCATCTGTGCCAAACTGTCTTTTCTGAGGATCTCACAGAATCCCGCAGAAGAGTGTTTTTGACGTACTTTGAAGCAATGGGAATGGTGAAGGAATTGACTTCGCACAGCTCCAGTGATCTGTTGAAGATCAGTGTGAAGATGGGGGCCAGCTGGGTCAGCACAGGATTTCAGACAGACTGGTGTAACACAGTCTGGGCCTGGTGCTTTTCTCCTTTTCTGCTTCTGGAAGACCTGGCGCACCTCTTCTTCGCTGATCTGAATTGTAGGTGTGGGGGAGAGGGGGGTTGCTGGAGGTGTGAATGGTTGTGTGGAGAGGTGTTCAGGGCGGGTGTGGGGTGTTTTTTCAAACCTGCAGTAGAACTCAGGGCTTACATGATATTTCCGGGCTTACATGGTTCCTTTCCTGCAGAAGGATGAGAAATGGACATCATTAGGGATTAGCTTGAGACGCGTTGCTCAGATCAGGCATCAACGGAGAGAAACTGGCTCCTCTGATGTGCTTTGTGACGGCAATTCTTTAAAGCAGAGGATATGGATGGGACAGGATGGGAAGTTAATTCTGATTCTGCTATTGGCCATTGAATAGTAATTGGTTCATTGATGGCTGTATATCAGCGACAAAACAGGCTCCCGGCAGCCCTGAGATGCCACAATGTGTTGTATTTATGATTTCCTTGTATGACCTTGTAAAGCAAGGGAAATTATTTTATGAGTCCCACGTGTGTCTTGTGCTTTTTATTTGATATTCTTAGCACTGCCCACATGTAGCCGTGGTCTTCTGGGTGCATTGTTTTCGTCTCTGATATCCCTGGTGTACCACATGTTGGTGGGCAGAGTTTGTCCTTCATTCCTTTTAGATTTTGTTTGTGGACTATAATTTTCTTTATTTTGTGTTTGGAGGTTTCCCCCGAAGAAAAAAAACTTCCTTAGGGTTCTTTTTGGGACACCCTCATGGGTGTAAAGAAAAATAAATAAATAATGTGTTGTTCTTGTGTTGTTGTTCTTCAGTATTATTTTAGTAATTTATACTAAATATATGCTTATACTTACTAACTATAGCATATACAATATATATATATATATGCATACATACATACATACATACATACATACATACATACATATTTAAATATATTTTGAATTAGCGTTCATTATTTTATTTTCTGTTTATATTGTAAATTTAAGTTTGTAATTTTATGTACTTTTGTATTTTTTGTAATTTTAGAACTTTTGTTTTATTCATTTAAACTTATTTTATTTCAGTTAGTTGCCAAGATAGGGGTTTATTTTTATTTATTTTTTTATTATTTTAATCTAGTATTAATATTTCATTGTGTTTCAGCTTTATTTCAGTTAACAAAAATAATTTTTAATAGTTTTAGTTAACATTAACAAAACTGGGAAGGTACAGCGTATTTCAGATAGTTAAAAAAATAGGCTAATTAAAGGTGAAGATTGCCAAAAAAAAACATTAACATTTTAAAGTGATAAGTAATTAATGACATAAACCTGTATTAGACAATTTATTAAACAATGAAAGTTCCCCATTTAGATAGCTAGGTATATGTGCATAATAAAAAAAAAAGTTTGTACGTGGATGATAGTGGAATTGGGAATCTTACCATTTTCCAGCTCTGAACTAGACTTGGGACCAGGTAAACTTAAAGCTGCTGTTGTCAGGTTTTAAAGATTGAAGTGGATGAGCAGGTTGTGTAATTTCAATGTGGTGGTGTTTTTTTTTTTTTTTTTTTTGCTGTAGACAATAGAAGGTCAGGGTTGTGTAATCCACAAAGTAGCATGATCTCCACTTTATTGTATGTAATCTGTTATCCAGACGACAGCTGTTGCAACTGCCCATTTTCTCCTGTTTAGTCCGCTTCAGAAAGTATGAGCAAAGATGAAAAGGTGAAACCCTTGAGCCTGACTGAAACTACAGAACCTAATTAAGTCAGTCCCTTCTACCCACCCCTGGCACTGAATTAAATCAGTTCTGATGTGGTCCTTTCTGCCCATGCATAAATTTTCCTCTCATTGCAATCAGATCAAAAATCTGACAGCACAAGTAGTCCGTGAAGACGTTTTGCCTGGCATCCTGTTATCCACTTTCTTCAAACTGATTTATATTGCTCCCCTGTTGATTATATGAAGAAAATGAGTCCGTGAAAGGAAACATGCATATAAGTGAGAAATTTCTGTGTGGATGGGAGCTGTGTGGCACAGTGTTAGGTGATCTACATCTATGACATGGTGGGAGGGAGAAGATGTGCACAGTTTGATCAGTGGTGATATGCCTCATTTCAAAAGAATATACAAAAAAGAGAAAATGTGTTCGAACCTAATTTTTTTTTAGTGGCAGTTCACTACAGCAGCTGAATTTAGACATGCAATCTCTCATAAAAGCTTTTAACATGTGACAGTCAATTAACCCTCTCTAAGAAGTTGCGTGACTACATTCAGGCCCATTAAACCACAGCCATCAAAGCAGCGTTTTTGTGAGGGCTATAGTTTTGCGCAATTAAAGGTTATGGTTGTTAATTTGCCTATACTTATTTGTTCAATATCTGTCAGTTAACCTATTGAAAGTGTGCACTTAGTATCTATTTATCCACAGAAGCACATTTGATGGTCTCTGGTGGACATAAACCAGCCTAATTATACAGGGCTTTTTGATGGACTAATCTTTCAGACAGCCCACTGACTAGTCGATTTTGAAAAGATGTAATATTGAAAGTCCTTTGTGTGGAAGGAAGCTGTTTCAAAGTCAAACAAAAGTCTCATTGACGTTTAAAGCTACAGTTTGTTTCGTTTTTATTTGTCGTATTTGGAGCAAGGATGGTGATGGGAAACCTGGGGTGACGATGATACAAGTGGAGGCGGCTCTTCCATCACATCGAGCCCCTGCCTTTGCTTTTCCTTGTCCTTTGGGGCTTCAGAATCAATGGTTTTCTCCTCTTAAGGTTGCCGTGGATTGAACCCCTAACCGTGCCATGATTCACAACGTCACCTTGATGATTCAGCCTCTCCCTCTCACTGTAATGATGTGCCACACTTTGCCCTGTGTAAAGATATATGACTTGTTTAAACTGTGCTCTCCAAGGGCTGCTTGGAGCTCAGGACTAGAGTAATTGTTAGCAGAGTGGTAGCAATAAATCAAAAGCCATCTCCTTTTTTCCTTGTTATCCTCTAATATACCACAATATGACTAGGGAGAGCATGGAATATTGCTAGCTTCTCTCCTCGTGTCCCTAAGGATGTGAGATCTGAGTTGAGCAGAATGAGCCTGCTAATGCCCTAATTGAGCTGAGCACTCGGGGTTAGAACAGCATCAGCTCCGGGCTCCGAAACCACACAATTCACAGGAACTAATGACATGGTGAATCATGATTTATTAGTTTAAACAACCCAGAGGATACTCTACACATTTTGTTTTTCTTTTAGAAATTGAATTGAATGGCAAATTTATGCATATGGGGAGACTTGTGTCAGAATGATAGTATTTACAAGATTAGCTTAAAAGAACGACACCACAATGTCGTGATTACCATTGGTGAAACTCGAAATATTCTTTGATCTGTGGTTGATGGTACTTAAGTTAGAATTGGCTAAAGCAAGAATTACTATTGCTCATATGTGTTATGGATTTGAACGATGCAAGCATTGTGTGTGTGTGTGTATACTGTGTGTATATGTGTATATGTGTATATATATATATATATATATATATATATATATATATGTATGTGTGTGTGTGTGTATCTCCTTCATAATTTTATATGTATATATAGATGATAGTATATAAATGATTGTTTTATGTTCTATAATATAATATAATTTAGTATAATATGATATTATGTAATAAACAGAAATAACTAAGCAGAATATAAAAATAGAAATCTTTATCATATAAATTCAAAATTAATTCAGGTTGACATAAAAATGGAAAAAATATATTATATTATTTGTTATATGTTATATACATACAGTACATATATTTTTCTTTTTTGTCAAAGATTTCTGTTTTTATACTCTATAATATAATAAATAAAAACAAATAATATATAAACACAATAGATTATATAAGTAATAAACCCGTAAGACCTTTGTTCATCTTCGGAACACAAATTAAGATATTTTTGATCAAATTAGAGATTTTTTTTGACCTTGCATAGACAGCAACTGAACTATCACGTTCAAAGCCCAGAAACATAAGGACAAATAGTCCGTGTTAAAGCTCTCGGATTTCATCAAAAATATCTTAATTTGTGTTCCAAAGATGAACGAAGGTCTCATGGGTTTGGAACAACATGATGGTGAGTAATTAATGACATAATTTTTGTGTGGACTATCCCTTTAAATTTGCCCTAGAAATCAGTTCTTATGACTAAAATCACTTGAATGAACATGAGATCTGATCTTGTCAGTAAGAACTTCCCAGGAGGACTTGAAGACAACATTACATTTTAAGAAATAATCAATAGCAATTTAATTGCCTGAATAGGGTGTGACTCATCTATCTCTCTTCCTTAGTGTTACTTGGTACTTATTGACATGCACTAATAGTGCTGGATTGTCTTGAGTGTATTGAGTGTATGATGTATTGAGTGCCTCCAGGCTGGACTTTTATTTACTTCCTGTATTTACTTCTACACCTCTAATGTCATCTTTCTCTCAACTTCTCTCCTCAGATCCATGACGCTGAAAAACCTCCCTCTGAGACTCAACTCGGTGAGTATCCAAGCAGCTTCTGTTTCCTTTCACATCCTGCAAAAGTCAACAGGATTGTGAGGAGCTTTGAAAGGCACCAAAATCCCACAGAAATAATTCCTGTCAGAGAATTCAAGTTGTATTTTAGTACCATTCCAGTCAGGTAAGCCTGTGTTCTTATCATATTTCATTTTATGTTTCTTCAGACCAACTGTAAATATCACTGATGCCGCATCTAAAGAGAAAATTATAAGGTCTATTTTAGATGGCTTTAGTCGGCGCCACTCTCCGTGCAGCAGGATTCGATTTCAGGGCACAGCTAATTGATTTGGGTCACCGTTTGCAGTGCGCTGTACGTGTGTTTGATATTTCAGTGTAGCGAGGCAAATGAGGGTAATCCGGTATGACGTAGTGGAATGAACAGATCGTAGGGGTTTATTACAATAATCATAATTCTGCCTCTCTCACAATTGCCGAAGGTGTGAAACGATTTGGATGAAACGAATGACCTCTTTATTCTAGTAACCATTACAGCTAAATTGATTCTGGTGTTTTGCTTTTCTTTTGTCTTTAACAGGACTAAGAGCACTCAGCATACTAATTACTCTAAAGGTGTAAAGGTCCATTATAATTGGCTGTCGCTGCATAACAAAGGAAGTCTCGGTGGATGAGGCGAGAGAAGGAAGAGAGAAACGATCAGGATGTGTTAAAAGATGAAAGTAGATCAACAGTTTGAGTATAAACTGATGTACAGATTTGAAATTATGCTTTATAAAAGCAGAATAGAGTTAAACTGTCTGTTTGAAATGATCCATTGTCTGACTCAAAACCAGGCAGGTATGGAAATGAATCAACTTCATGAAGTGGATGTGGAGTCTGTCGAAAAGTAATGACTTCTATACATCAAACAGTTGAAGGAAGCCTGAAGTGCAAAGATGGTTTTATAATTTCACTGAAGTCTCATTTCAAAAAGGTACATCTTATGCCTCAGCCCGTAGTATGATTAAGAAAAATCTCCGAGCTTCTTCTTGCACCAAGCATGTGACACAGAACAATAACCTTTATGGTTTTGAAGTTCTCTTCTTTTTCTCCTTTGTCTCCCAGAAGTGGTTAGTTGCTTGAAGCGCTTTAGGCGGATATGTCAGAGAGGCATTCGTTTGAGCTTTGTTTTCTCATGTAATGCGCTCTACAAATATAGCGAAAAGTCAAGCGCACTAGCATAATCTGTAAATTATTTCTGGATATTGTCTGCGCAGCTAAAAATACTGTAGACCAGAGTCGACCTCATATCGGAATATTGAGAAGTAGCTTGAAATGCATCATTCCTCCCAGAAGAAGCTCATATGGAATATTTGAGTGTGCTTGATCTCAGATATCGTTTTTGAGAAGGGTTTGAAGGCCTGCATGAACTCGCTCGCCATCGAAATGATACCCAGCAAAGCAAGCCAATCCCTGTGCATAACAGTCACTTCACACAGTTGCGGTTGCCATGGCGGGGACTTCATATCGGCCCTGTCTTATCTTTTAGAAAGTCAAGAGCCTTTTTTTAATCTAATGAAGCGTGAAGAAAAGTTGGATGGAGTGGATGGGAAATAATGGGTTATTTGAACATGCGGAAAGGGATAAAAGCATGCATTTTTTTCTGTTGTTTAGTGATGCGTCAAACTGTAAAATTGAAAAGTGATGTTCTGAGGTGTCCTTGAGAATGTTTTATGTAACTATCTGATTGAATTTAAACTTGGGTGAAAACTTTTTTTTCTTCTTGAAACGCACCATTGAAAGTCTTCTCAAAACTCTCATATGGTGCATTAAGTAGATATCAGAATCTTTCAAGGGCCTCGGGAAAGGCAAGATAACAGTTCCTCCGGGTTTCATTTTCAAAACGGAGATCTTTCAGGGGGTTTTAAAATAAGGCTTTAATGATGTCTGTTTGACTGCAGTCCCTCTGAGTCTGAAAAAAGAAAAGGATATTCTCAAAATGACAGTGACTTTGTTTTATTAATGACAGCACTATATCTGATAATGATGATAATACATTTTAAAGGAATAGTCTACCCAATCATTATTATTTTTGTCATTATTTGCTCACATTGCTTTATCTAAAACCTGTATATTATTTATTATATAGGCCCTTTCTTTCGGAACATGCTTCACAACTCCTTGTTCAAGCTCTTGTTCTGTCCAGGCTGGACTATTGAAATGCTCTCTTGGCAGGTCTTCCAGCCAGTTCTATCAAACCTTTACAATTAATCCAGTACGCGGCAGCAATATACATTTTTAATGAGCCAAAAAGAATGCGTTACACGTTACACCTCTGTTTATCAGTTTGCACTGGCTACCAATAGCTGCTCGCATAAAATTCAAGGCACTGATGTTTGCATACAAAACCACCACTGTCTCTGCACCCCTTTACCTAAATTCATTATTTCAGACTTATGTGCCCTCTAGAAGCTTGCGTTCTGCAAGTGAACGTCGCTTTATTGTGCCATCCCAAAGAAGCACAAAATCACTTTTACGGACTTTTGAATTAAATGTTCCCTCCTGGTGGAAAGACCTGCCCAACGCAATCCGAGCAGCTGAGTCCTTAGCCATCTTCAAGAATCGGCTAAAAACACATCTGTTCAATCTTTATTTGACCCTCTAACTCTAGCACTCTCTATTCTAATTCTATTCTTTAAAAAAAAACACTTGTCCCTTTTAGACTGGCACTCTATTCATTTGCTGCTTGTTTTCTTTAAAAAAAAAAAAAAACTAACACTTGCTTTCTAATCTTTTTGTATTCTATCAGTTTTCTTTTCATTTATTATATAATTAACAAAAGCAAAAAAGACCTCTAACACTAGCTTGCTCTATTCTTTTTCTATTCTATCTGTTTTCTTTTTATTTATTATATTATTTAAAAAACAATTGCTACGTGTACTGCGTTAAGCTAACTAAGACTTGTTATAGCACTTGTATATCATTGCTCTTTTGTTGCTTCCATTGTCCTCATTTGTTAGTCGCTTTGGATAAAAGCGTCTGCTAAATGACTAAATATAGAACTTGAATATAGAACTTGAAACGAGATGTTTTTCAGAATGTCCAAGCAGCACAAAAAAAAGGATAAAAAGCACCAGAAGATAGAATTAAATAGTTTCCGCTCCCTTTCTTGCTTTGCCTTTTAACATTCAAAAACAACACAGCTTCGGCATTCTAACATCTCCTTGGATCAAGATGGTGCAGCAGGGTGAGTAAATGATGACAGAATGTTTTTTTGTGAACTATTCCTCTAATAAATTATGGGTTGACAAACACCAAGTGTGTTTGAAGTCTAGAATGAAATGCCTAGGAGATTTTCAAAGGCTTGTTTTACCTAAAATAAGGAATCTTAGCTCATTTTTCAATATTATTATATCAGATGTGTCTGATGTCTCTCTTCACCATGGTTCCTCTGTGGAACATCTCCTGTAGGATGAATTGCATGAAAAATAGCTTTTGTAGATACAAGCCAAACTGTAATGCTGAATTACCCCGGCTTTACTTCTGCTTTATCCAGTTTTGATGGCACTTTTGATGGTTTCGTAACACAACACCGTGTTTGTGTTGGCATCTCTGATTTCTAATGTGATTAAGTCTATAAATATGGTTAAGACCCGAGTCTCGTTCATACTACAGGGATGTCAGATTTATTACTTGCACATGTGCCAAGTTATTAGGAGTCTTTGCAATTTCTGCCTTGGTTATGACCAAAATTATGCTGTCAGAAGGCATGCAGAGCACTTCAAATTCTGTAGTTCAGTTGAATAATGGGTTTGCTATGATATATGGGGAGATTGGGGTAAGATGTGTCAGTGGATGAGCTGTGTCACCACTTTAATCTAGCAAAGTGCATTTGTCTGTCTGTCCGTCCATATCTCTCTCAATCTATCTTTCTCTAACTCTCTTTCTCTTACAGTTTTTCTCAAACTGTCTAGCCTTTTCTAACTCTCTTTCTCTAACTGGTCTACCCATTCATTAGAGCTGCACAATGAATCATTAAAAGATCATCTCGATTAAAATCTAAAGGACAGCGATTCGTCTGTGTCTATTAAACCTTTGACAAAGTCGTGCAGTAACATTCAAATCTGGTTCGCACTGCCGCTGACACAGAGAGAGCAGTTTTTATGTTTAGGTGTGAAACAGTTTCACAAACAGTCGTCTTCTAATCTTCAGTACTGGGATAAAAGTTTATAGTTCGGATATAAACACTGATGTCTAAAGTAGTAATCGAAATAGAGCGAATCACCTTTTGAAAGTAATTGGCTTTTCAAATAACATTTGTGTCAATTACATTGTGACTGTTAAAAAATTTATTTGTCATTGAATCATTCATTCAACCGATTTGTTCAGAAACACCGATTCATCCAGTAATGAAAAAAGTGAATCATTGAGTCATTAATTTATTCAAACCAATTTTTTTATTCATTCAAATTAATTCAACATTTTTAAATGGACTGCAGCAATTAATATTTTTGTCACAGCCTCTAGTAAATTTTTATTTTGTTTAGTTCAGAATCGTGATCTCTATTTTTAACAACAACAACAAAATCTCAACCCTCTCTCTAACTAACTAACTATACTTCTCTCTAACTATCTCTCTTTCTCCATCTAATTAACTTTCTTTCTAGAACTAATTAACTCTCTCTATACTACTTAACTATCTCTCTCTCAAACGAACTAATTAACTATCCATCTCTCGAACTAATTAACTATCTCTCTGTTGACCTAAACTGTCCCTCTCTCCAACTAATTAATTATCCCTCTCTAACTAATTCTCAAATGTAACCCTCTCTCAATTTATCACCAACATTTCTCTCAAATTAAAACTCTCAAATTATCACTAACTAACCCTCTCTCAAATTATCACCAAATAACTAACCAACTAACTCTCTCAAATGATCACTAACTCTTAAATTATCTATCTAACCCAATCTCAAATTATTACTAGCTCTCTCAAATTATCTCTCTAACTATATATCTTTCAAATGATCTCTGTCACTCTC